CCAGATATCATGGCACAGCCATTTTTGCCCTGACCCTCTGAAGAACCGTGGAAAGCCACCAGGGAACAAAAGCTACACAGATGACCAGCTCACCTTGAGCCCATCTCCCTGACAAGGGGTGAGGTAACTCCGTCCAGGCCTGAAAACAGAACAGCAGGCCCCTCCCCCAGAAGACAGACTGGAAGAACAGGTGAATGACAAACTTATAGATCCCACAGGAGTATAAAACTCCAGCGCCAGGGGAAAATAATATATTGAGCTTCAGGTGTTTCCTCATGACTCGTTTTTCCTTCAGTCTAAAATTTACATTTTTTTTTAACCTTTTTCCCATTTCAACTAGATGCTTTTTTTTAAAGATTTTATTTATTTATTTGTCAGAGAGAGAGAGTACAAGCAGGGGGAGTGGCAGGCATAAGGAGAAGCAGGCTCCCCTCTGAGGAAGGAGCCCAATATGGGACTCGATCCCAGGACCCTGGGATCATGACCCGATCAGAAGGCAGACGCTTAACCAACTGAGCCACCCAGGCATCCCTCAACTAGATTCTTATTTTACCAATTTATGTTTTTAAGTCGCTTTTTAACCTTTTTTTTTAATCTACATTTTATAGATTTATGCCTCATTCTAGTCCTTTTTTCACTCTATTCAATGTTATATTATAAACTTTGTTTTCTTTTCAATTTTGGGATGTAGTGTCTTCTAACACACAGACCAAAATTCAATTAGGAACAAGTAGATCACCCTGCTTTGTCCACCCTGTGAGATTACACTCCCCGCCCTTTTCTATTGTTGTGTTCATTTTAACTTTGCTTGCTTTTCTGTGGTAGCTTCCAACCACTTTGGATTTTTTCCTAGGGTGCATTTTGCCTGGGTTGTGGTTGATATTTTAGACTCTATTCATTTGCTCACCCATGCTTCCATGGGCAGAATGACTAGAAGGAGGAACTCACAACAAAGAACCAGAGGCAATGTTCTCGGCCACAGAATATAAGCAAGATGTCAGAGATAGAATTCAGGATAGCAGTTATAAAGTTAATAGCTAGGCTTGAAAAAAGCATAAATGAGGGGCGCCTGGGTGGCGCAGTTGGTTAAGCGCCTGCCTTCGGCTCGGGTCATGATCCCAGGGTCCTGGGATCGAGCCCTGAGTCGGGCTTCCTGCTCAGCAGAGAGCCTGCTTCTCCCTCTCCCTCTGCCTTCCACTCTGCGTATCTGTGCTCTCTCTCTATGTGTCTGTCAAATAAATAAATAAAATCTTCAAAAAAAAAAAAAAAAAGCATAAATGACAATACAGAATCTCTATGGGAAGAAATGAGATCTAATCAGGCCGAACTTAAAAATGCTAGGAATGAGATGCAGTCTAAATTGGATGCTCTAACAGCTAGGGTCAATGAGGCAGAAGAGAGAATAAGTGATCTAGAGGACAAGCTAATGCAAAGGAAGGCAGTTTAGGAAAAGAGAGAAAAACAACTAATAGCCCATGAAGAAAGGCTTCGAGAATTTAATGATGCATTGAAAAGAACCAATGTCAGAATCATCAGGATCCAAGAGGGTGGAAAGAGAGAGAGGGCTAGAAGGTGTATTTGAGCAAATCATGAGACCTTCCCTAATCTGGGGAAGGAAACAAGCATTCATGTCCAAGAGGCAGAGAGGACCCCTCCCAAAATCAATAAAAACAGATCAACACCCTGACATATAATAGTGAAGCTTGCAAATCTTAGAGCCAAAGAAGCTATCCTGAGAGCAGCTAGGGAGAGGAGATTCTTTACATATGGAGGGAGGAACATCAGAATAACATCAGACCTATCCACAGAAACATGGCAGGCCAGAAAGGGCTGGCAAGATATATGCAAGGTACTAAATGAGAAGAACATCCAACCAAGAACACTTTATCCAGCAAGGCTGTCATTGAGAAAAGAAGGAGAGATAAAGAGTTTCCAGGACAGACAGAAACTGAAAGAATATGTGACCACCAAGCCAGCCCTACAAGAAATATTAAGGAGGATACTGTAAGCAAAGAGAGAACCCAACAGTCACATAGACTGGAAAGTAACAGAGACAATCTACAGAAACAGGGACTTTGCAGGCAATACAATGGCACTAAATTCCTATCTTTCAATAGTTATTCTGAATGTAAATGGAATGAATGCTCCAATCAAAAGACACAGGGTATCAAATTAGATAAAAAAGCAGGACCCATCCATATGCTGTCTACAAGAGACTCATTTTGAACCTAAAGATACCTCCAGATTGAAGGTGAGGGGATGGAGAACAATTTATCATGCTAGTGGACCTCAAAAGAAAGCTGGGGTCACAATCCTCATATTAGACAAACTAGATTTTAAACCAAAGACTGTCGTAAGAGATGTAGAGGAGTACTATATCATACTCAAAGGGTCTATCCAACAAGATCTAACAATTGTAAATATCTATGCCCCCAATGTCGGAGCAGCCAATTATATAAACCAATTAATATCCAAAGTAAAGAAACATACTGATAATACATAAATAGCAGGGGACTTCAACACCCTACTCACAGCAATGGAGAGATCATCTAAGCAGAAGATCAACAAAGAAATGAGGGCTTTGAATGACACAATGGACCAGATGGACTTCACAGATATTATACAGAACATTCCATCCTAAAACAACAAAATACTCATTCTTCTCAAGTGCACATGAAACTTTCTCTAGAATAGATCACACACCTGGTCACAAATCAGGCCTCAACTGATACCGAAAGACTGAGATCATTCCCTGCATATTCTCAGCCACAATGTTTGAAACTGGAACTCAAACACAAGAAATTTGGAAGGAACTCGAACACTTGGAGGTTAAAGAACATCTGCTAAAGAATGAATGGGTCAACCAGGAAATTAAAGAACTTAAAAATTCATGCCAACTAATGAAAATGAAAATGCATCGATTCAAAACTTACGGGATACTGCAAAGGTGGTCCTAAGAGGGAAGTACATAGCAGTCCAAGCTGCTCTCAAAAAATTAGAAAAGTCCCAAATACACAAGCTACCCTTATATCTAAAGGACCTGGAGAAAGAACAGCAAATAAAGCCTAAACCAAGCAGGAGAAGAGAAATAATAAAGATTTGAGCAGAAATCAATAACATAGAAACCAGAAGAACAGTGAAACAGATCAATGAAAATAGAAGTGGGTTCTTTGAAAGAATAAGATTGATAAACCTCTGACCAAACTTATCCAAAAGAGGGGCACCTGGGTGGCTCAGATGGTTAAGCTTCTGCCTTCGGCTCAGGTCATGATCCCAGGGTCCTGGGATTGAGCCTCGCATCGGGCTCCCTGCTCAGCGGGGGACATGCTTCTCCCCCTCCCTCTGCTTCTCCCCCTGCTCATATTCTCTCTCTCTCTCTCTGTATCTCTGTGTCTTGAATGAATAAATTAAAAAAACCTTTAAAAAAAAAAACTTATCTAAAAGAAAAGAGAAAGGACCCAAATTAATTAAATCATGAATGAAAGGGGAGAGATCACAACCAACACCAAGGAAATACAGGCAATTGTTAGAACATATTATGAGCAACTATATGCCAACAAATTAGGCAATCTGGGAGAAATGGATGCATTCCTGGAAACTCATAAACTACCAAGACTGAAACAGGAAGAGGTAGAACATCTGAACAGACCAATGACCAGCAAGGAAATTGATGCAGTAATCAAAACTCTCCCCCAAAAACAAGAGTCCAGGACAGATGGCTTCCCAGAGGAATTCTACCAAACATTTAAAGAAGAAATAATACCTATCCTACTGAAGCTGTTTCAAAAAATAGAAATGGAAGGAACTTCCAAACTCTTTCTATGAGGCCAGCATTACCTTGATCCAAAAACCAGACAAAGACCCCATCAAAAAGGAGAATTACAAACCAATATCCCTGATGAACATGAATGCCAAAATACTCACCAAGATCCTAGCCAACAGGATCCCACAGTACATTAAAAGGATTATTCACCACGACCAAGTGGGATTTATTCCCAGGATGCAAGGGTGGTTCCAGAAGGTGATACTAGAAGTCCTAGCTAGTACAGTAAGACAAGGGAAGGAAATAAAATGTATATTTTTGGGGAAGGAAGAAATATTATCTATGTTTGCAGATGATATGATTGTCTACATAGAAAATCCCAAAGAATCAACAAAAAACTTCTGGAACCAATAAGAAACTATAGCCAGGTGGCTGCAGGATACAAAGTTAATACATAAAAGTTAATTGCTCTTCTATATAACAGCAATGAATAACTGGAATTTGAAATTTAAAACATAATACCATTTATATTAGCACCAAAATAACTGAAATACTTAGGTATAAATTTAACAAAACATTTAAAAGATAGCTGGAAAATCCCAAAGTATATGGAGATTAAACAACAGACCTCTAAATAACATATGAGTCAAATAAGGAGTCACAGAATGAATTTTTAAATACTTCAAATAAATGAAAATAAAAATATTACACAGCAAAATTTGTGGGACGCAAAGGATCCATATGAGGAAAACTACAAAACTCTGATGAAAGAAATCAAAGGATATCTACATAAATGGAGAGATATTTTATATTCATTGAGAAGAAGATTCAATATTTTTTTTAAAAGATTTATTTATTTATTTGAGAGAGCGAGAATGAGAGAGAGTACATGAGAGGGGGGAGGGTCAGAGGGAGAAGCAGGCTCCTCGCTGAGCAGGGAGCCTGATGTGGGACTCGATCCCAGGACTCCAGGATCATGACCTGAGCTGAAGGCAGCCGCTTAACCAACTGAGCCACCCAGGCGCCCGAGAAGAAGATTCAATGTTATTAAGAGGTCAATTCTTCCCAAAATGATCTATAGATTCAATGCAATCCCAATAAAAATCCCAGCAAATTATTTTGTGTATACTGACAAACTGATTCTAAAGTTCATATGGAAAGGCAAAAGACCCAGGGTAGCCAACACAATACTGAAGAAAATCAAAGAGGATTGATACTACCTGATTTTAAGACTTACCATATAAAGCTACAGTGTTCAAGACAGCATGGCATTGTCTGAAGAATAGAAAAATAAATCAGTGGAACAGAACAGAAAGCTTAGAAATAGACCCACACTAATATAGTCAACTGATCTTTGATAAGGGAACAAAGGCAATTCAATGGAGCTGAGGATCTTTGCAGCAATGTCCATCTGGAGCAACTAGACACCCAAATGTAAACAAACAAACAAAAAGAATATAGATGCAGACCTTACACCTCTCACAAAAATTAATTCTCAGAATGAATCAATAGATCTAAATGTAAAATGCAAAATTATAGAACTTCTAGACAATAACATAGTAAAATCTAGGAAACCCTCGGTTTGGTGATCACATTTTAGATAGAACACCAAAAGCACAATTTAAGAAAAAAAACAATTGATGGGCTGCCTGGGTCGCTCAGTCAGTTAAGCATCTGCCTTCAGCTCACGTCATAGTCCCAGGATTCTGGGATGGAGTCACACATGGGTCTTCTTGCTCAGCAGGGAGCCTGCTTCTCCCTCTGCCTGCTGCTCCCCCTGCTTGTGTGCTCTCTCTCTGACAAATAAATAAATATATTTTTAAAGATTTTATTTATTTATTTGACAGAGAGACGGTGAGAGAAGGAACACAGCAGGGAGAGTGGGAGAGGGAAAAGCAGGCTTCCTACTGAGCAGGGAGCCCGATGTGGGGCTCAATCCCAGGTCACTGGGATCATGACCTGAGCCTAAGGCAGACACTTAATGACTGAGCCACGCAGGCGCCCCACAAATAAATAAATTTTTTTTAATTGTTAAAGATTTTTATTTATTTATTTATTTATTTATTTATTTATTTATTTATTTATTTATTTTTAAAGATTTTATTTATTTATTTGAGAGAGAGAATGAGAGAGAGAGAGACAGAGCATGAGAGGGGGGAGCATCAGAGGGAGAAGCAGACTCCCCGCTGAGCAGGGAGCCCGATGTGGGACTCGATCCTGGGACTCCAGGATCATGACCTGAGCCGAAGGCGTCGTTTAACCAACTGAGCCACCCAGGCGCCCCAAAGATTTTTATTTATTTGACAGAAAGAGACACAGCAAGAGAGGGAACACAAGCAGGGGGAGTGGGAGAGGGAGAAGCAGGCTTCCCACGGAGCAGGGAGCCCAAGGCAGGGCTCGATCCCAGGACCGAGCCAAAGGCAGACGCTTAACGACTGAGCCACCCAGGCGCCCCACAAATAAATAAACTTTAAAAAATTTTTTTAAAAAGAAAAAAAATTGATGGACTTCATTAAAATTAAAGACTTCTTTTTTTAAAAAAACAAACTGAGGGTTCTAGAGGGGAGGGGGGTGGGAGGATGGGTTAGCCTGGTGATGGGTATTAAAGAGGGCACATTCTGCATGGAGCACTGGGTGTTATACACAAACAATGAATCATGGAACACTACATCAAAAACGAATGATGTAATGTATGGTGATTAACATAACAATAAATTTTTTTTTTAAAGACTTCTTTTTTTTTTTTTTAAGATTTTATTTATTCACCTGACAGAGAGAGAGATAGCAAGAGCAGGAAAACAAACAGGGGGAGCCGAAGAGGGAGAAGCAGGCTTCCCGCCGAGCAGGGAGCTGGATGCGGGGTTGGATCCCAGGACCCTGGGATGGTGACCCGAGCGGAAGACAGACGCCCAACGACTGAGCCACCCAGGCGCCCCTAAAATTAAAGACTTCTGCTGTATGAGAGACACCGTTAAGAGAATGGAAATATAAACCACAGACTGGGAGAAAATGTTTGCAAAATATATATCTGATTTAAAAAACAAAACTTGTGGGGCACCTGGGTGGCTCAGTTGTTAAGCACCTGCCTTTGGCTCAGGTCATGATCCCAGGGTCCTGGGATCAAGCCCTGCATCAGGCTCTCTGCTCCGCGGGAAGCCTGCTTCTCCCTCTCCCACCTCCCCCCGCCCCCCCGCTTGTGTTCCCTTTCTTGCTGTGTCTCTCTCTGTCAAATAAATAAATTAATTAAAAAAAAAAAAACAACTTGTATCAAAAATATCCTAGAGATTGAATGTTTCTGTCCCCCCAGATTCAGATGTTGAATTCCTAACTCGCAACAGTGATCATATTATGAGGTGGGTCTTTGGGAGACTTTAGTGCCCTTATAAAGGAAAGCTCACAAAGCTCCCTAATCCCATTCCATCATGTGAATAGATGGCAATCCATGAACCAGGGAGCCTTCACCAACCACAATTCTGCCAGTGCCATTAACCTAAACTCCAGACCTATAAGAAATAAATATGTGTTGCTTACAAGTCACCGTTCTATGGCATTTTGCTATAGCAGCCCAAACACACAAAGACCATATACAAAGAACTCTTAAAACTCAAATAAAACAAACTCAATCCAAAAATGGACCAAAGATCAGAACACACATCTCTCTCACCAAAAAAAGATATACAAATGGCCAATAGCAGCAACAACAATGAGAGCATATGAAAAGATGTTCACCATCACAAGATATTCAGGAATTGAAAGTTAAAACAATGAGACATCACTATACACCAATCAGGATGACCAAAATCCAAAATACTGACAACACCAAATGCTGCCAGGGATGTGGAACAACAGGAACTCTCATTCATTGTTGGTGAGAACAACACCACTTTGTAAAACATTTTGGCAGTTATTTAGAAAACTAAACATAGGCTTACCATATGATTCAGCAATTGTGCTTCTAGACACCTAATAAGTTGAAAAGTTTGTCTACAAAAAAACCTGCATACAAATATTTATGATAGCTTTATTCATAATGGTCCAAAATAGAAAGCAATCTAGGTATCTTTCAATAAATGAATGGACAAACAGTGTGTGGTATATTGGTAGAATACCTTGAAAATATTGTGGGTTTAGTTCCAGACCACCACAATAAAGTGAGTGAAATAAATTTTCTGATTTCCCAGTGCATATAAAAGTTATATTTACATTATACTATAGTCTATTAAATGTGCAATGGCATTATACCTAAAAAACAATATATATATCTTAAACATACTTCATTGCAAAAAAATGCTAATCATCATCTGAGCTTTCACCAAATTGTAATCTCTTTTTTTTTGCTGGTGGAACATCTTGCCTCAATGATGGCTGCTGACTGATTAGGACAGTGGTTGCTGAAGGTTGGAGTCGCTGTGGCAATTTCTTAAAATAAGACAACAATGAAGTTTGTTCTATCAATGGACTCTTCCTTTCACAAAGGATTTCTCTGTAGTATGTGATGCTTTTTTTTTTTTTAAGATTTATTTATTTATTTGGGGTGGGGGGAGAGGCAGGTGGAGGAGAGACAGAATCCCAAGCAGACTCCCCGCTGTGCATGGAGCCTGACGCAGGACTCAATCCCACCACTGTTAGATCATGACCTGAGCCCAAATTAAGAGTCAGATGCTTAACCAACTGAGCCACCCAGGCACCCCACATGTGATGCTGTTTGATAGCATTTTACCCAGGAACTTCTTTCAAAATTGGAGTCAATCAGTAAATCCTCTCAAACCCTGCCACTGCTTTGTCAACTAAGTTTATGTAACATTCTAAATCCTTTGTTGTCATTTCAACAATTTTCAGAGCATTTTCACTGGGAGTAGATTCCGTCTTAAGAAACCACTTTCTTAGGGCGCCTGGGTGGCTCAGTCATGACCCAACTGCCATCAGCTCGGGTCATGATCCCGGAGTCCTGGGATCGAGCCCCACATCGGGCTCCCGGCTCAGCGGGGAGCCTGCTTCTCCCTCTGACCCTCTCCCCTCTCATGCTGTTTCTCTCGCTCTCACATAAATAAATAAAACCTTAAAAAAAAAAAAAAGAAACCACTTTCTTACACAGATGTAGTGAAAACAAGGGCCACATGCACCCCAATGTTCATAGCAGCAATGTTCGCAATAGCCAAACTGTGGAAAGAGCCGAGATACCCTTCAACAGATGAATGGATAAAGAAGATGTGGTCCATATATACAATGGAATATTACTTAGCCATCAGAAAAGATGAATACCCAACTTTTACTTCAACATGGTTGGGACTGGAGGAGATTATGCTAAGTGAAATAAGTCAAGCAGAGAAAGTCAATTATCATATGGTTTCACTTATTTGTGGAACATAAGGAATAACATGGAGGACATTAAGAGAAGGAAGGGAAAAATGCTGGGGGGGGGGGGAATTGGAGGGAGAGATGAACCATGAGAGATTATGGACCTGAGAAACAAACAGGGTTTTAGAGGGGAGGGGGGAGGGGGGATTGGTTAGCCCGGTGATGTGTATTAAGGAGGGCACGTACTGCATGGAGCACTGGGTGTTATACGAAAACAATGGATCGTGGATCACTACATCAAAAACTAATGATGTATTGTATGGTGACTAACATAACATAATAAAATAAAATTAAAAAAACCTAAAAAAAAAAAAAAGAAACCACTTTCTTTGCTCATCCATAAGAAGCAAGTCCTCAACCATTAACATTTTATCATGAGATTGTGCCAATTCAGTCACACCTTCAGGCTCCACTTCTCCTTCTAATTCTCTTGCGATTGCCATCACATTTGCAGTTATTTCATCTACTGAAGTACCCCTCAAAGTCAGCCATGAAGGTTGTAATCAGCTTCTTCAAAACCTCTATTAATTTTAATAGTTGAACCTCTTCCCATGAATCGAAATGTTCTTAATGGCATCTAGAATTGTGAATCCTTTCCAGAAGGCTTTCAATTTACTTTGCCCAGATCTATCCAAGGAATCATCATCTGTGGCAGCTGTAACCTTACAAAATGTATTTCTTCAATAACAAGACTTGAAAGTCAAAATGACTCCTTGATCCATGGGCTGCAGAATGGATGTTGTGTCAGCAAGCACGAGAGCAACATAAGAGTTCTTGGGTGACCAGATGCATTGTCAATGAGCAGTATTATTTTGAAAGGATCTTTTTTTCTAAGGAGTACATCTCAACAGTGGGCTAAAATATTCAGTAAACCATGCTGTAACCAGATGTGCTGTCATCCAGGCTTTGTTGTTCCATTTACAGACCACAGGCAGAGTAGATTTACAATCATTCTTAAGGGCCCTAAGATTTTTGGAATAATTGTAAATGAGCATTGGCTTCAATTTAAATAAAAAACTAATGATGTACTATATGTTGGCTAATTGAATTTAAATAAATTTTTTAAAAAGAAAAAAAAAATAAAGTCACCAGCTGCATTAACACCTATTGAGAGAGTAAGCCTGTGTTTTGAAGCCAGGTATTGACTTCTTCTCTTTAGCTATGAAAGTGGCATCTTTTTCCAACAGGCTATTTTGTCTACATTGAAAATATGTTCTTTGGTGTACTACCTTCATGAATTATCTTAGCAAGATCTTCTGGATAACTTACTGCTTCAACTTGCACTGTTTTTTAAGTTTTTATTTAAATTCCAGTTAACAGGGCGCCTGGGTGGCTCAGTCGTTAAGCGTCTGCCTTCAGCTCAGGTCATGATCCCAGCTCCTGGGATCGAGCCCCACATCAGGCTCCCTGCTCCACGGGAAGCCTGCTTCTCCCTCTCACACTCCCCTTGCTTGTGTTCCCTCTCTCGCTGTGTCTCTCTCTGTCAAATAAATAAATAAATCTTAAAAAAATAAGTAAATAAATAAATTCCAGTTAACATACAGTGGAAGTTTAAGGTGTAGATAACTTACTGCTTCAACTTGCACTGTTTTTTAAGTTTTTATTTAAATTCCAGTTAACATACAGTGTAAGTTTAAGGTGTACAATATAGTGATCCAACATTTCCTTAAAACACTGAAAGCTCATCACTAGTGCACTCCTTAATCCCCATCACCCATTTAACCCATCCCCCCACCTACTTCCCCTCTCGTAGCCATTAGTCTGTTCTCTATAGTTAAGAGTCTGTTTCTTGATTTGCCTCTTTTTCCCTTTGCTTATTTTGTTCCTTAGATTCCACATATGAGTGAAATCATATGGCATTTGTCTTTCTCTGGTTTATTTAGCTTACCCTAATACTCTCTAGCTCCATCCATGTCATTGCAAACGGCAAGATTTCATTCTTTTTTATGGCTGAGTAATACTCCATTGTGTATATATATATATATATATATATATATATATACACCACATCTTCTTTATCCATTCATTAGTCAATGGACACTTGGGCTGTTTCCATAGTTTGACTATTACAGATAATGCTGCTATGAACATTGGGGTGCATGTATCCCTTTGAATTAGCATTTTTGTATTCTTTAGATAAATACCTAGTAGATCCAATTGCTGGATCATAAGGTATTTTTCTTTTTTTTTTTTAAGATTTACTTATTTGAGAGAGCACGCAAGCAGGGGGAAGGGCAGAGGGAGAGAGAGAGAGAGAGAGAGAGAGAGAAGCAGACTCCCTGCTGAGTGTGGAGACCAGCACAGGGCTCAATCTCGTGATCCTGAGATCATGAACTAAGCTGAAACCAAGAGTCATGTTCTTACTTATCGAGCCACCCAGGCACCTCATATCTATATATCTATATATCTATATATAGATATATATAGATGTGTATATATATAGATATAGATTTTTTTTTTTTCAAGAGAGAGAGAGGCAGGGGAGGGGCAGAAGGAGAGGGAGAGAGAGAAAATCCTAAGCAGGCTTGACACCTAGGGTGGAGCCTGACACGGGGCTCAATCTCAAGACCATGAGATCATGACCTGAGCGGAAATCAAGAGTCACAGGCTTAATCGATGGAGCCCAGGCCCCTCAAGTAATTCTGTTTTTGTTTTTGTTGTTGTTGTTTTTTTTTAACTTTTTGAGGAACCTCCATACTGTTTTCCAGAGTGGCTGCACCAGTTTGCATTCCCATCAACAATGAGTGTTCCCCTTTCTCCACATCCTTGCCAACAC